TTTACAGATCAATGAAACGAGCGCTCAGGTGCAGCAGCTGAAATCTGGAGTTTGCTCGTTAGTTCAGAAACTTTGGAAACAGGAAGTGGCACAAACGGCATTTCCTTCTGTTGCTATGGGTGACCTGGAGTGACGCGCGCGCTCTGTGATTGGTCCGGGCTGTGGGGCGCGTACCTTGTTGTGCAGCACTGTGGCCAGCTGGCCCTCGCTGCCTTGGAGCTCCTGGAGCAGATCTGTGAGGGAGGCGCTCGATAACGACTGGATCACTGCAGAAACCGGCTCCACCAACCAGCACAGCACCTGACCGGAGAGCAGAGGCGTTAACGCCGCACAGACACGGGTGAAAGCGATGTCACTTCCTGCGGGGGTTACCTGGTCCTGTTTGTCCTTCTTGGCTAAAGCGGGAAGGTTGCGGGCAATTGCCATGACAACAGCAGCAGCCTGCGTCGAGGGCAGGAAGGGGAGGAGCCGGGAGATGAGCCGCTTGCCCTTCCTCACCGACATGATCATCACACACTGCTCGTCACTCACTCTTCACAGAGGAGGAGAAAACGTTACACCGCTGAGCCGCCTGTGACGGCGCTGATTGGACAGAGTAAGGACCGCCCCCTCCTACCTGTCGTCCCACTCTTTCTCCCGCAGCGAGCTGCAGAGCTGCTCCGTGTTGCTCTTGTGCTGCTCCAGCAGAGCCTCGCGGTCCTCCTCCGGCGCCTGGACGAAGCACTTCTCGAAGTCCTGAACCTCCAGCAGCAAACTGTACATCTGCAGGGCGGAGGGGGAGGAGCAGAGGGAGACATGGTTACGTTTCTCGAAGCGTTTCCTGCCGTCTGCATGAACATCCTGTCGTGCACGGCTCTGCTCGTCCTACCTTCTCCACTGTGTAGAGGATTTGTCGCCTCTTATTCCAAACCTGCTTCTCTCGTTTCTCCTTCAAGAAAACAGAAACAAAAAGATCAACGGGAGCTGAAACCTGATAAAACACTTCAGGATTCAAAACCAAACAGAACCAAACAGCTGCTGTGTCACATTTTTCTATCTGCCTGCTGGCTTTGGAGGATAAAGTGGATTCAGGACAATTTGAAGCTCGTTTCACAGGGACACTGATCCACTGTAACACCGACTGCCAGCTGTGCCGACAGGCTGTTAGCAGCGTCTGCTAAAGGCAAAGACTCAGGTTTCTCTCAGAGCGACA